ATTTTGCATAATATTTTGTGAGTTACTTGTTTTTCCTTTTTTTATTAAATTGTATTAATTTTAATGACCATTTACAGAGATTTGGGGTTTCCATTGATTCATTGTTGCACTATTTTCTCTACCCTCCCCCCCCAGTTCGTTCCTCTTTCTTCCCCCGTTGAAAGTATGTTTTAATTGTCCCATTGCAACAGTGCTTGTCAAAGCCAGTTTTTTATTAATATCCTTTGTCAGTATGTCCTTTGCCATTCCCTATCACTCCTCCCTGTTTCTATTTCTTTTAAAGTTCCACAGTCATGAAAACAATCCCTAACAATGTCAAAAGGAGGTCAAGTGGGGTGCTAAATCTCTCATGCTTAACCACAGAGGGTCCCTCATCTTTCTTTTATGGATCAGGATGGTGCAAAGTAGGTTAATAAACCAGAGACAACAATGAGATAACAAACTAGTTAACAAACTAGCAGACTAGATAGCCCTGATAAGGTCTCTACTAGGTTACTATGAAGCAACTCCACAGCCGTGAGTTTTGGGTTGGCTAGTACTGAGGCCCCTCGCCACATGAGTGGAGATATGTAGTGTTTAGGCACCCAACCACCACCAGTAACAAAGTACATCTCTGCTTGTGTGCTCAGATGGTGTCAGGAGAAACTTAGCAGAAAGTCACAACTATCACCATCATTCAGCAGGAATGAGACCACTGTCTAACAGAACCACAGGACAGCATGTGGGGAGCTGCCTCCCATCCCACACACAAACAGCAGGAGTTCCCTTTTCAAATGCTACTGGAAATTATAAAATAGAGATCCTGGACTTCTATGTGCTTCTGGCAGTAAGAAGGTGGTACTCCATTTTTGAGACTGATAAAAAGGTTCATTTCCAAATGTGTGTGAAATTCCTACTATAAGTAAGGAAAAGTAGCTTAAAGAACTCACTATTCTGTCCTATAATATGGAACACCAAAGCACTCTACAAAAAATGACAATTCTAATATAAAACAATACCATATGTAATACTGAATAAATAAGAATACAATCGTACTGCACATAGCTCCACTTTGTTGGCGGAAATGTATGCAAATGTTTTTATGCACAAGCACTTGGCTGTTTAGACAGGAAAAAGTTGGGAAGACCACATGCTCAGATACTACCATGGTCACTTCTGAGTTAAAATTTGAAGGAAATGATGTGAAAAGCCTCCCCATATATTTTTATATCCTTGCATTTTTTTTAATTAGTAAAAAAAAGACAATCACTATAATTCATATTTTAGAAAAAAATACCAACTAAGGAGTCAAGAACGTAAATAATCTGTAGAATTTATTAAAAGTAAAACTATAATTTTCTTGTTTTTTATCATTAGATATTAAGCAGAGTGTCCCGTAATTTAATACTTTCAACAAAGGAATTCTATAATGATGGAGCTTTAAAATTTTTTTTTAAATTATGTCAGTAAACAAATCACCACAATGCTATATATCTGTCAATTCTTAAGATAATGAGGCAAAAACTCTATTGTTGCTGTCAGATGTTTTTCCTTGACATTTAGATATTATTAGAAATGTCACTTACATTGAATTCCTAAATTTGAGCCACAGAAAGCAGCCTTCAATAGCAATATAGATGATAAACAAGTAAAATGTTAGTTTCCATTTAAGATAATATTTTACTAAACATTACATCCTTAAATCATCATTTACTTATCTGTGTTTTTTGATTGCTGTTTGGTTTTGTTGGGTTTTTTTGTAAGAAAATGAAATAGTTACATGATGAGCAAAAAAGTTTGTGGGGAAAATGACAGAATGGTTGCACATGGTTAAAGTGTCCTCAAGTTAACCACGATTGACAGTGACTGTGGGGCAGAACAGAACTGTTTTCCACAAGGTCTTTTGTTGTTGTTTTCATGTTTATGAATGCTTTGTATTTTTCTTCAAGTGTTCTTAAGCTTCCCCCCCCCCATTTTTTTAACTCATTCATTGTTGCACATTTTCCTTCCTCCTCCTCACCCCTGTCTACTTTGCAAGGCGCCTCTTACTATAGACTGTTGTTCCACAAGGTTTTCAAAGACTGATTTTTGGAAGCTCTGACTGTAAAGTCCGCACTGAGCTGCACCCAGGAGCTGTGAGTCTCAGGCAGTTTCAATCTACCAGCAGCTCTGCAGAATACAGACTGCTATATCCTCCCGTGGTAATTCACAGCCTTGGAAACCTGAGGGAGACTTGCTTTGAGTTGAAACTGACTTAACAGCAGTAAACCTAAGTTTTGAATTGGATTTTTTGAAATAGATTTCTAAGCCTTTTTTCCAGAGCATCTCTGGGAGGACCTGAACCTCTAACCTTTCAGTTAGTAATCAAGTATATTAACCTTCTAAATCACTCAGGTGTCCCCCGTACATGTTTGCTGCTATTGTTGTTAGGTGTCATTGTGTAAATGGATTCAAAGTGAATGTGACCCTATGAACAACAGGTCAAAGCTTTGCCCTGTCCTGTGCCATCTTCAAAATATATGCCATGTCAAAGCCCATTGTTACAGTCACTGTATCAATGCATCAATCTCATTAAGGGTCTTCCTCTCTTTTGCTGAACTTCTACTATATGTTTAATACTTAATAAAACTCAGCATTCATTAATAGAAGGGGAAATAGAATAAAATATCCAGTTTATAACTTCATTATAAATTTTATAAAAATAATGTCTTTAAAATGACTATGAATTTACACAAAAACATTAGACAACATGGAAATATTATAAATTATAATTTTTAAATATCTGTAATGAACACTTCACATATTCTGATTAATCATTTTTCTAGTAGCAATAATATTCATTTCAGGAAACCCACTGTTCTCTACTGGGTAGTCAGTAGAGTGACTGAAAACACTTGTAATAGAGCCAGATGACTGGGTTTCCATCTGAGACTTCTGTCTAAACAGTAATCTCCATGACCTCCATGTGTCTTATCAGGTCACCCAATTATGAAAGTAGGATACTAATATTTCTTGTCTTGAAGGGATTGTATGAATATTTAAATTAATTTATTAATAAAAGACTCAAAAGAGTAATCAGAACATACAAAATGCTGTTAGCTATCTTTTTCATTTCAAAAAACCAGAGGGATCAAATCCTCCTTTCTTCTATAGACTCAGAATCTTGAGAGAATACAGTAAGGAAGGGCAGAACAGTTTGCACTATATTCTGCTAGTAGTAGTAGCATTGAGATGAACTATGCTTCTGATCAACTATTTTAACTATTCTGGTCACTGTGCTTCCTGTGTAGGGTCTATGGTTACTGCTAGTTGCAAATTCTTATACCTCAGCTTCTCTTTAGTTTGTAAACTGACCTCTTATCCATCACTTTCCTAAGTCACTTTAACACCAATCATACTCATTAATGCATTATAACTGCACCTTTTAGAAAAAACATATAAGCTAAAATACAAAGTCACCATTTGTTTACAAACATTTACTCTTGAGGGATAAAATGATGAGTAATTTTTCAATCTTCTATTTATTATCTTTTGTTGTTCTCACCACTTTTTAATAAGCATTTACTGCTTAAATTAAAAGTCAAGTC